CATGAACATACAAAGCACATCGAGATCGATTGCCATCTTGTTAGAGAGAAAACTCATAAAGGGATCATCAAGTTATTTCATATCAGTTCTGCAAACCAGTTGGTAGACATTCTTACTAAGGCACACTGTCCAAGCTCTTTCTATAGCTATGTTAAGTTTCCAAGCTTGGCTTGCTCAATATCTACAATCCAAGCTTGAGGGGGGCTTTTAGGGATCAAGTGGATAAAGCAGCATGTGACACATCACCTCATCACTCCATAACTAACTTTGTTGAGACTGTTAAAAGTAGTTGAGTAGTCTTGATTTGTAACTAGTTTTCCCACTTCCCTTACTGCCTTCTCTATCATGTACATATATAAGCTTGCTGCTTTCCTTGAATGAACATACAGAATACACCTTTCATAACCGTTTTCCATAATCTGTTTTTCCTCCTTCCCCTCATCACAACAATTTTTACTAAATGATATATTGCCCGAGGTATATAGTATAATTTATGAGAAGAAAAAGTTCATAGAGTTGATGAGTTAGACAAAAAAATTATAGTCTGTTATTGTCATGAAGAAAAAGCTCGCAGAGTTTATGAGAAAAAGAGAAAAAAAAAATTGTAGAGTTTAGTCATGAACAAAAGGTACGATAAAGAAAAAATAAACTTTAGAATTTAGGAAAAATGTTCATAGAGTTTAAACGGGAGAAACAAAGTATATATATAGAGTTTAGTAAAGGAGAGAAAGCATGTAGAGTTGTCAGGGGGAAAGTTTAGGAAGGGAGAGAAACTGTAACAATCCCAAAATTCTAACAACAAAATAACAATCCCAAGGCATTCTTCTTAACTTAACAATAAGAATTAATAAGCATATATAATGTACCCGACATCCAACAATAGGTGATAAGTCATGAAATAGCCCATAATTGTGCTTCATTTGTACTAAATTTTTTTTATTGAATGCTAGGTAATTGTGCCGGAATAGGGTTTTGTTCATGTGTTTATGGTTCAAGGAAGGAGAATATGGACTTAAGCATGCAGAAGCTTAAAGTGAGGACAATTCGAAATGATAACAAGGCAAAATGGTCAAAAAACGGAGGGTCTAAAGCATAGTACGGAGAAACGGAGTAACAAAGCGAAGGCAGTGCCCAAAAGTGCTTCTAGTAGGGTGTCACGCTAAAGGTCACGTCGTGACCATCAGCGTGACACTCTGGCCAGCTTCGGATGATTAGGTGTCATGCTGATGGTCATGTCGTGACTACTAGCGTGACAACCTAATCATCCGCAAGAGGCCAAGCTTGTCACGATGAAGGTCACGACGTGACCTCCATCATGACCTGCTAGGCCACCTTGCGGTCCTGGTTGTCACGTTGGTGGTCACACCGTGACTACCAGCGTGACACCCTGGGACCTAAGGGCTAGTTTGAAGGGTCACGACCACTTTCACGCCGTGAAGGTGATCGTGATATATCCTTGGCTATCCGAGAGGCACTGGGCCTGGTCACGATGATGTTCACAGAAATGGTCACGATTGAGTCCACTTAATACTAAATACTCCAGTATAGGGACATGGTCACCAAAAATTCCTCCCGCAAATGGCTCCAACTTTTAAGGAAGTATAATAAAGTTGTGAAAATTTTAATTAAACACTTAAAAACTATTGATTCACGGTTATTTAGATTTTTTATACCCCGTAAAAAAAGCAGCCCAATACTTTAATATTTTGATAATCACTTAGAATTAAATGCTTATGAATTGCCAACTACATACTATGTACTATGTCACTGTGAAGTCATCTCTACTACCATTTCAAATGGATGGTCACACGATCAAACGCCGATGGTGGGGATATTAATTCTTTGGACTGAAAAATATTGAGAAAATATAGGATAGAAAAATGATTATGATTTAATAAATAAAAAAAATTATTACAAAAATAAAATAGGACTGTTTTTAAACTAACTGATGTGGTATAGATATTATTTTGTAATTTATATTTAGCTTGTTTGGTGATTATAAAACTACACTAGACTAATAATTGTGAACGAATGTGGAATTTCAGTTAATAAAAATTAGATAAATATTCTAAAAAAAAAAAAAGGATGGAATTAGTGCGCAGAGATTGATTTAAAATGTAATGTGTACTAAATTTGTATACAAACCATTACCAGAATGGAGTGCAAAGGATAAACAAGGGTCCAGTTTGGTAAATGCTTGTTAGTTGATAGCTATTAGTTGTTAGCCGATTCGGTTAATTAGATGGTATAACTTGTTGATTGTAGAGATGTGTTTGGTAAATTAGCTGTTAGCTGATAGCCGTTTGGTATAATTTCTTTTCTCAAAAAGTTAATTGAGAATGTTGCTTTGAGCAGCTTTTTGAATTTTAGCATTTTGGAGTTACAAAAAGCTATTAGGTTAACTATTTTACTAAACAGGATTAAAGTGTTATCAAACTCAAGATCTCTCACATTCAAAGCAAGAATCATACCACTAGACCAAACACCCGATGATATTAGCAAGGTTGCGAATGAATCATACTAGCTGATCTTTTTAGTATGATGAGACAAAGTTGAGTATCAAATTGTTTACTTGCTGATATTGAAATAAAAACTCATGATTCATGAAAGCTTTCTCAAATCGACAAAAACTACTAAATTACTCCGTACCTTACATTAATTTTACCAAAAATAGTGTTGAGATTAAGATAGGTTTTTTTTTTTTTTTTGAAAGAGATTAAGATAGTTATTGTGCCTTTTTGTTGTAATCAAACCGATAAGATTTGATATTAAAAATACATTTACAACATAAGCCTCATGAGCATATATATGCTACAAACTAATTCTTTAGCAAAATGTGTGATGTGCAACACCGTATTCAGTTGACTAAAACAAACAATTGAGACTTGAGATGGGGAAATTCAATTGTTGTCCCATGGAATTAGCTCAGTTGGTTCAACCGATCATCTTAAAGTCTTATTTCAATTTCAATTCTAATCCTCCAAAACACCCACAACAAACCACTACGCACATTCATGTTTCTACCATTATGTTTTTCTTTTTCTTAAACAAAAAAAATCTTGGCAAGTCGAGTTTGTCCGCTAGCGGACTTTTGATAGGTAGACTGGGTCGACCGATTTCATACCCGCAATTTGGAAGATTTTTTTAGCCTGCTCCACTGGTCCATTTTGACGGCTCTAGTTAGACTATACAAACTCTTTTTTCCCAATTGTTAAAATTACATATGTTCGATTGCTTTTATCTATAGCAGCAATAAGACCTTGGTCCTTATATACCAACTGGACATTAAAAATGTTTTCTTACATGTAGATTTCAACAAAGAGATTTATATGGAGCAACCATTAGGATTTGTTACTCAGGGGGGAATCGGGCTTGGTTTGTAAACTTCGACAATCTCTATATGGTTTAAAGTAGTAGTCCCCAAGAGCATGGTTTGGTCATTTTAGGTCAACTATTAGTGAATTTGGAATAATTTGGAGCAAAGTTAAATATTTTGTGTTGTACCGATGCTAGATGGATGGGAAGTGTATCTACCTTATAGTATATGTGGATGACATTGCAATGACAAAGAAATCATATCTCAATTAAAAGAACACCTGTTTAAGAGATTATAGACTAAGGATTTGGCTAAGTTAAAATATTTTTTTTGGAATTAAGGATGTATAGACAATTTTGAAAAAACTGGGATGCTTGAATGCAAACCCATTGATAGTCCTATGGATCTTAATGTCAAACTCTTTCCAAATAAGGGGAATACTATCCGAATCAGAACATTAGATGAGACTTATGGAAAACTGAACTATCTCATAATCAGTCATTCATATATCTCTTTTGCAGTAAGTGTATTAAGTCAATTTTTTTTAGTATTTGAAATCCTTGTATTGATCACTAGAATGCTACTACTCATTGGTAGTAACTTGATTTCATAGAAAAGTAAGAAACAAGATGTGGTAGTCAGAACTAGATGTTGAATTCTTGCCATGATTTTAGCTACATATGAACTCATATGGCTAAAGCACTTACTTCAAGAGCTACAATATTGGAATGTGACAACTAGACATCTCAACATATTGCTATGAATCTAGTCTTTCATAAATGAACCAAACGTATTGAAGTTTACTCTCACTACTTCATTAAGGAAATGATTGCATCAAGATTGATTATTACAATTCATGTTAACTCCACTAATCAATTGGTGGATATTCTTAATAAGTGATCCCAAGATAAATTATATTTGTAACCAACTTGGCACATGTAACTTATATGCTCCAACTTGAGGGACATTGTTAGAATACAATAGTCATGTCTTATAAGAAAGTCAGTTTAGCTTCCTTGGATATATACCTTGTACCAATCATTTTAAATCATCAAATTCATGAATGTTTCTTTACAATAATGATATGAGAGTAAAAGAATATTTCAAAGATGCACATAGATTAAAAAGTAAAATTAGTTGAAAAATGTAGCATTAATGTACCCATTTTTTTAATTTATTCAGAAAAAAAAAAAAAAAAAACAACACCATCAACTTGTTTTGAAATTGCTGCTTTCGTTCTTGTCTGACATGGAGTATGAAGACAAACTAGGATGGGTTTTCGATCCAAAAGGGAACTTTTCTGTCAGCTCTACCAATACTGCAATTACCAAAGCGGAGGAGGCAATTGATCCGAGGCCATGGGAGAACATTTGGAGTCTAAAAGTAGGTAGCAGAGTTCAACCCCCTACTGCAGACTCGCTGGTGATTCCTCGGACAACATCATTATAGCTTGCAGACGTGAACTTACGAACATAGGTGATTGGAATATTGCAGCAGTCTCCAGGGAATGCAACTCGGCTGCTGACATCTTGTCATTCAGGCCTCACTTTATTCAGCCAACCCCCTACTTGTCTCTTACATGTTTTAGAGGATGATACTCTTGGCCTGCCAATATGGCGCCAACTTGTCTCACCATTTATGTAATCTTGGGTGTCCCCCTTCCATTTGATCGAAAAAAAAAAAAAACTTGTTTTGAGTTGCAATAAAAATTAAATAATTACATTATTTCATAAATGGATTGCTTATAAAATTACAGATTAGATATAGTATATCATGTAACAGAGTATCACAACAATAAGCCCACAACAAGTACAAAACCACTAGCAGATTCATTATATTCCAAGCCAAAACTCCAACAGCAACTTCAACCCAGAAAAACAAACCATTTCAGATCACCAAAACAGCCAACGCCTCTCATTTGTGCCTCTAAACTTAATTGATCTATGGAGATCTGATGGGATTCAGCTGCAGAAGCACTCCTCATATCACTCCATGGCAAATGATAAGATTTGGAAGAAAACTATACTAGTTGTCTATGGGATGCCGCTACCCGGAATACATCCAAGATTTTGATCTTCTCAAGCTGCCCCAGCTGCACAAAATTATTAAAGTAAACTGGATTTTCAAAAAAGGGTTCACCTTGAATTCCCAATTTTTTTAAATTCGAAATTTTTGTAAAGAGATCCCTCGTACAACACTTAGGATCCAACAAAGATATAGTCTCTAAGTGTATGAACAACCTCTGAAATTTCTAATGAAAAAGGAATTCCCTCAACATAAAAATTCCTTAACAGTGACATTTTCAAAATTTTATATGCCTGAGAAGTATCCAACATATCACCACGAATAATAAAACTTTGCATATTCCAATGCTCAAAGAGCATTAGTTTAAGAGGAAAGAATTTTCCATTTAGAGACAAAGCTAAGTATTTCCAATAAACAAGATTTTCCGTATTTAGTACCCCAACTCCCAAATTCAGGTACCCAAGTTTCATGTCTACAACTCTTAGTATAGTAGATTGAAGCTACAAAATGCCTCAATTCTTAAATCAATATATTCAAAAGAGTGTAAGGAATGGAATTTGTCAAAGAGCTTCAACTCGGATTGAATATTGAAATATTTCAGTTCACCAAAATATAGAATAGTATGCTTTGCAACAGAGTATTCTGCCAATATAATTCAAATACCTACCTGCCTAATCCACCAAAGCATCCACAATAACAAATGCAAAAACCATTATGCACTCATTCATTCATCACTCTATTCCTCCTCATCCCTTCTTCCCTGCAATTGATAAATTAAGTAAAAATTAAAAAAGGTGAACACAGCAGTTAGATAGGTAAGGAAATATAAGATAGAAGTGAGAGGAAGCAAATCAGATATGATGGCCATGAAGAATTGAAGTAGCATGAAGTAAGCGCATGTTAAATGGTCACACATAAAATATATTAGAGGAATAGAAAGAGACCATAATATTTTCCGAACGAACAAGGAGGGCATTTCCATAGTTGTTGTATTGCTCTTCTTGAATCAACTTTGCGGAAGTCAGAACGGAATCCCAACACCAGTTTAACTGAATTAGTGCTAGTGTGGTGATATCCGCAAAACCACTAGGGATCTCTCGCAAATACTTGCATTCACGTATCTCTAAACATTCTAGCAAAGGGAAATGTTCACCCACGGCACTCCAACGTTGCAAAAATGTATCTTCAATTACCAATCTTTTCAATTGACGGAGCCCTTCCTTGGATGGCTCCCAGATTCTGTATTTGCTATCAATAGCATGTATTAGTTTTAGAACCTCTAGATTTGGCAACATGCCAATAAGCCTCATATCACCCCATGCAAATTTTGTCCAGAAGAATTTGAGCTTCTTAAGATTTGGTAAAAAACTAGATTCCCATGAGAAGCCGATAGATGGAATATATTTGATTGTCCACCTTTTGATGCTTAACTTCTCAAGCTGCCTCAAGTGCACAAAATTATAAAAATAATCTAGATTGTCTTCATGGAATCCACAATCAATCCCCAATTTTTTTAAATTTGGAATCATTATAAACAGATCCTTTGTACAAAGCTTAGAATCCAACCAAGATACATTCTCTAAGTTTCTATGAACAACTGACAAAGTTCCTAATGAAACAATACGTCCAATGCAAAAATTCCTTAATAGTGGCATTTTCCAAACTCCTGATGCCTCAAAGAAATTATACTTATATGTAGCATGAACATCACAAACAATAAAACTTTGCAAGTTCCAATGCTCAAAGAGCTCTAAAGGAAAATTTTCGCGGTAAACATTTGTTGAATACCTCAAAGCTAAGTATCTCAAATGAATAAGATTTGCAAGCCCATTTAGTAACCCATATCCATAGTAAGGTCCGCATACTATGTCTACTACTCTTAGTAGCTTTAAGCGTGAAAATAGAAGTTCCACACTTGAGTAATAAGCATAAGGATAGTGAAAGGAATGTGATTTGTGAAAGAGCTCCAAAGGAAGTAGATAATACTGTGATGTAGCAGTACTTATCCAACGACAAGAGATTATCTTATTGAAAAATGGATGTTTTTCATCTCCAATGACATTCAAAAGATTTTCATGTCGAGCTTCTCTTAAACACAAATCCCGCAACAGGTCATGCATTTTTATTGTCTTCATTTTCCCATTGTAGCTCTGTTTGCTAACAAAAACAAGACTTCTATCAACAAGACCTTGCAAGCATTCCATGGCCACTTCCTCCATATTTTGATTGTCCATTTCCCTCAAAAATCCTTCTGCCACCCACAACCTAACCAACTTCTTCACATGGATCTCGAAGTCTTCTGGAAAAACTCCAAAATATAGAAAACAAGCTTTTAAGTGGTGTGGTAATTGGTTGTAACTCAAATATAGTACTCTTGAACAAGCATCACTAGAATCACCAATTACATATCTACTCACGTTTTCAGCAACATTTTTCCACTTCTCGACTGCCGCCTCGGTCATGGAGAGAAGACTAGCTACTAGAATAATAGCTAGAGGTAATCCTTCACATTTGTTCACTATATCTCTACCAATTTGCTCAAACACCGAAAGAAATTTTGTTTTACCAAGCACATTGCAGAAGAGACTCCAACCTTTATTTGCATCTAAGAAAGGCATGATAATTGTAGAGTTACCTGAGCTAGCATATTCTGCCACCTCTCTGAGTCGAGAAGTCAATAGTATACGACTTCCATTATTATCATCTGGAAAGCATCTTTGCACATTATCCCAAGCAGTTGTGCTCCATATATCATCAATCACTATCAAATATCTATAATCCTTCAAGTGTTTACGCAAACTTTCTGCTAAGTTGTCATTTCTTTGTTCATGGTGTACATTGCTCAGTTTAGGGAGTTCATCATTTGATGCTGCAATAACACAACCAATAAGGCATTGGACCATTTGTTCCACGTTAAACTCTTGAGATACAGTAACCCAGGCTCGTTTGTCAAAATGAGAAGTAATTGATGAATCTTCATATACTTTCTGAGCTAAAGTGGTCTTGCCAATTCCTCCCATGCCTACAATTGATACGACTTGTAACTGCTTTGCTGATTGTCGGGTGAGCTGATCCATTATCGTCTTGAACTCCTCGTTGCATCCGACCATTCCACTGTCAAACTTTATTGAAGCGTTTTTGGAAAATTTACTCACAGTAATGTTCTCTTGTTCTGGATCAGGCTGTGATGATGTTGAACCAAGGAGTAATCCTCTTTGTCGCATCCTTTCATCATGTGATGGACCCTTTGCGAGCTGCTTTTCAATTTTAATCTTTATCAACTTCTTCTTGAGGTAATCAGTCTGTTTTACAGCTTCATTGAAGATTCCATGAAGCCTGAGTAGGCAAGCAAGATGCTTCATCCAACCCTTTGCCAGATAAATGGTAGTCAACTCCATCTCAATTCTTTCTTCAGCTTCGAACGCTACATCTCTTATCTCTTCCTCTAGATCTTTCATCGCCCCCGCATCATCATAGGCGATCTCAGATTTCTCAAGACTTTCTTGAAGGAAACCAAGATTTCTATGGAGAGAGACCACCTTTCGTTTATATATAAGAGGCAGACGTGGTTCTGACTGCAAGAAATGTAGATATAGTGTTCCGTCAAGCGAAGTTACAGCAGCATAAGCCATTTTCAATTCGTCTCTCTATGTGGTAAGCTGATCTATGATCAGTCGATCAGAGCAGAACTACGTAAGAAGAAATGAAAGATGTGATACAATAATTTAGACAGCAATTCTCTCGTCAACGATAAAGTCTACACAGCTGGAATGAGTGGACAGTAGTTAGCGATTTTTTTCTTTTTTAATAAATTACAAAAATATTTATACGCCGTGTCAAGGTTTTATGGCTTATATTTCTTTTCTTAATTTTTTAAACAAAAATATTTAGTTATTTTATTTTATTTAACATATGACTAATAATCTTATTATCATTATCATATATAAATTATATATTATGATATTTATAATTTATATATTATGATATTTATAATTTATAGTCATCATAATTCATAAATGCCTGTATAAGACAAGTACATATATAAAATGATTATTCATCTAATTACTAATGCGGTTTAAATATACATTTTAATTTTATCTTTCCTTAACCTACTTTAAATATGTGTTTATTATAGAAGAAAATTTACTAACCACTATATAAGGTGAGACATTATATTCATAATTTGTTTTCCATATTCACCACAATTTGAAAGCAAGCTAAGTTGAGACAAAAACACCAAAATAAACAGCTAGCTGCGTGCGCATACAACATTCATACCCTTATTCATCACTCTCTATCTTCCTCCCCATCACTATCTACGTATTAGATATAGAGAAATGAGATCAAGTGAGAGAAAACAAATGACTATCCCTTGCAGATATTCAAGTAGCTAGATAGCATGAAATGTGAAGTGATCAGAGATATATTAGAGATATAGAATGAGACCCAAACTTTTTCAGAACGAACAAGGAAGACATCATTTTCATAATTGTGTTGTTCATCCTGAATCCTCTTTGCGGAAACCATAACGGAACTCTAACATTCGTTTAATGAATCAATGGTAGTGTGTTGATATGGGCAAAACCACGTACTAAGGATCTCTTGCAACAAACGAAATTCACTTAACTCTAAACATTATTCGAGCATTGGGAAATGCATGGTCACCTATTGTTGTCCAATGTTGAAGATTTGTTACTTTAACTACCAACTTTTTCAATTGACATAATGCATCGCTAAAAATCTTCAATTTTCCAACCACCCAGAAAAATGGTTGAAAAAGTGACATTTTTTTTTGTAAGTGTAAAAAAATATTACACATTGGACCCACCTTATGTGGGCTAAATTAGTTGTCAAAATAAAGTAGTTAGTTGGCTCTGGAGCAGGGTCAGGTCGTGCTCCAATCAGGGTTTTACTTCTTCAACAGGTTGTTCTCCTTAGGCCCTATTTGTATGCTGATTTAAAACGTGTGGTGCAACTTCTCTTGAGGACTTAGCAGCTGCACGATTTTAGACAAGGAGGTTCTTATTTTTACCTCTATAAAATGCTACTTTGATTATTCATTGGTGAGAAGATTGAATGATTATTATCTACCATATCATCCCTCTGTCCTCTGGTGTTTTCTATCTAGATCATCATAGTGTTGAAGATACCTCTTGAAAGAGTGAAGATGGCTAGCACGATCAGTCCATGGTGGTGATGTAGGGTCGGTTGGGATAGTGTAGTATATACTGTAGTGTGTATTGAACTCTCCTGTATACTCTGTGTTGATCATTTAGTGGATTAGGATGATGTGAGTGGCCCCGCAGATGTAGGAGTGAGGCTCTGAACTGCGCGAACATATCCTAGTACCTGGTTCTTCTTTTTACTTCTTGTTCTTGTTCGTTTTAATTCTAACACAGTACCTAGCTTTAATCCATGTTAACAATTGAACGTAAAATTAAGTAGGAATATGGCTCTGTTTGTCAACGCTAAGCTAGGGATGCTACTTCATTATGGGATGCTAGATCATGATCATGCTAACAGTTTTATTTTAAAAAGTGTTTACTTTTTTTGGAAGACGAAATGTTAAATTTTAATATGTAAACAGAACTAATTTAAATTTTATGAAGATGTCCTTTTTAGTCTTTTTACATTTATCAGCTTATCAAAAAGCTAATTTTACCAAACACTTTCAATCATAACAGCTAGCTTAACAGCTCTTCAATTTTCAGCTCCGAGCTTATAGCTTTTCAGCTTTCAGCTCCTTTTCAGTTATCGGCTCCTAGCTTATAGCTTTTCAGCTAGGTGTGCCAAACAGATCCTATATCATTGAAGAAAGTCTTGCATTCCAGATCCATACACTGTTTCATTTTTATTTTCCATGGTCGACGGAAATAGGTCGAAATTCCGACCATATTTACTTAGTGGTCGGTACCGACCACAAAGTAAAGATGCTCCGACCACCTTGGTGGTCGGTATTTCCGACCACCTTCAATAGTGGTAGGAACTACTGATCACTAAGTCAAGGTGGTAGGAAATCCTTTGTTTTTTTTTTTTTTTTGGTTGTTCAATGGTATGAATTGCGACCACATGATTTATCTTTTTTATCATTAATTATTTTACTCATACTCGTTTTGAAAAAAAAAAAAATTAGCTTGCATTTCTTAATGAGAAAATTTCAATTTTGGTCACACGACTATAGGGGCTTTGTTAATTTCAGCACCTAACTTTCAAAAATGTCAGTTTAGTATCTTGAGTATGTAATTTTTGTCAATTTTGGTCACTCCAGCCAAATTGCCGGTCAAATTTGACCGGAAAAATTTAGTCCAACATTTAGTCTAAACTCTGAGAGGCAAAATGGTCTTTTATCTCCTTTCTTGGACTAAATTTTTCCGGTCAAATTTGGTCGACAATTTAGCCGGAGTGATAAAAATTGACAGAAATTACATACTCAAGGTACTAAATTGACACTTTTGAAAGTTATGTGTTGAAATTAACAAAGCCCCTATAGTCGTGTGACCAAAATTGAAATTTTCTCTTTCTTATTTATTTATTTTTGGGGTAAAAATAAAGAAAAAAGAGAAAACCACGACACAGAGTTTACTGGTAGTATGTTGACATGTTGTGATGTTCAATATAAACAACCAATTTAACATACCTTTGGGCAAATTAGGATCCAAGATGCTTTGAAATAATCCATTAATAGTAGCAAAAAACTAACGTCGTATAAATTTTTAAAAAAATTATATACAACGTTGGTTAACTTTACAAACCGACGTATATATTTTATAAATTTTCAAAATTAACATACGACGTTAGTTTTGTGCTAAAAACCGACGTCATATGTTTATTTACAAAAAATTTTTAAAAAATATATGACATCGATTTTTAATAAACGACGTCGTATCATTTATTTATTACATTTGTCAGAATGATGTCGATAAAAAATCGACGTCGTATTCAAAAAACTAACGTTAAAAGTGTTATTTGTAGTAGTGCCTTTCTATACAGATACATGCAATCATTTTCACTTTGCATCTCATTATTGTGCTTGATGAGAAAATCTGTAATACCCACTACTTTAGAAATAAAGATATATCTATGTTATTAAAATAGGTCAACAAGTCAAAGGTTATTAAAATTGATATTGGATGAATTTACTAAATTGCCCCTCTTTGTCCTTAAAGCTTAAGGAATCATATCTCTTCTATCTTGGAAGACCATATCATTTGAAAGAAGAAAAAGAGAATTTTGGCTAGAGAGATAGAGGAAGGGAAAAACCTTGATGAAGCTTTGATCTCCATCTTCTTCAAGCATAATTAGATCTCAAAGCTGTTGGAATATTCTAGGTGAGTTTGACATCCATATTTCACTCTAGTTGGGTTTATCATTTGAGCCCTAAGATTGATGTTTGAAAATATTAGGAATTTTGACGAGGAGTATTTGGGTGAGCTAAATAGCTAAGGTTTGGGTGTTTCAGGTAAGTGGTTAACTCTTCTCTCCTTACTTTGCAAAACCCATAACCTATTTTGAAATCTCTACTACTTTGAATACCCCTTTCTAGGCTTAGTATGAGTAAAAAGTATTTTGGGCTATGCTATGTTTTTGAGCTGTTAAACTTGACTAAAGATATCCTTGGGCATGCCTAAGTTTGGATTTTGTGAATAAATGAACACGGCTATTTTTTATTATATTTGTATGTGTATGATTTGTACTAATGTGTTTTGCTCTAAATGAGGATCAAGTAATTTATTTGACAATTATTAGTTTACGATTTCATATCACTTTTGAATATGTACTTTGTTATGTGATTTTTAAGGAAATGATTTTTGCTACATCGGCCTATTTGACTATAAGAACTATTTTTAATGTTTGGTCAAACTCATGAGACAACCAACATTTGTTGATTTTTTTGTTCGGCTTGGAACGTTCCTAATTGCTCATTCCGAATCGTCGAGCTTGACTCAATCCGAATCGTCAAGTCTTTTGAATTATATTTTTGAACGTTCCATCCGGCTCATTCTGAATCGTCGAACCTGACTCATTCCGAATCGTTGATTCTTTCTAAATAATTATGCCGATAATGGCCTTTGCCACGAGTTATAATAGTGGATGTAGGCTGCCAATGAGTCATATGTTAACGAATGATTTGTGCTTTTGAAAGTATTGCATTATGAAATAATGTTGATGCCCATGTAGCTAAAGTTTTCTGTTTT